TTTAGCTGCTTGTGTAGGAAACACAAATTTATAAGATCGGTTTTCCAGCCACCACTGCACCAAATTTGACAAACCTGGCACCAAATGGAAGATGATGAAAAAGATAAAAAAAATAACTAGCTTTTTTGCTACTAGGGGAAATGGATGTAATGTCGGCATAAATGCTCGAAATTTGGGCCCATACATAAATTCAGCAATCGACTAAATTTTCAATAGCGACCAATATATCCATAAGTACCATCCCAATGACGCGTTCATCTAGATAAAATTGATAAATAACTGATTTTTAGCGATGGACCCAATCTTAGATCCATAGGCCAACATTAGAGCCATTTCCCCTATCTGTTCAATTTACGCCGAAAACATAAATATTTTCAATGTGTGGACCAATTGTTTTTAGACTCCATAGTCGCTTACTAATGTCCTCCTCAACCACTAAAAGCAAATTGTGCGTGATTTGCTACTGAGTCGAGGTGGCCAGGTTTTTCATTGATTCATTGATGCTATGCAAATAACTATACACAAATAAATAGGGGAAATGGCTCTAATGTTGGCCTTTGGATCTAAGAATGGGCCCATCGCTAAAAATCTGCTATTTATCAATTTTATCTAGATGATTGCGTCATTGGCACGGTACTAATGGATATTTTTGGTCACTATTGAAAATTTAGTTGATTGCTGAATTTATGCATGGGCCCAAATGAAGGGCATTTAGATTAACATTACATCCATTTCCCCTAGTTTATCTTTTAGTTTGATGTTCGAAAAAAATAATTAATTATAAAATAAAAATCATATTTTTTTTTATTTATCAAGGGAAATAAAGTACAGTCATTTTGCTAAAATTGATACTGAACCCCATTGTAAACTTTGCTGATCATTCAAAAAATGTAAAATTTACGGAACTGATTGTAAATAAACAAATACCGACTAGATTACCGAATGTTCAGCTGTTCTATATTCGGTAAATAATTACAGTATACTCATGTGTATTCGGAACATGTTCCTATGTGTCCAATGTGATCATGAGCACTTCTAGATAGAGCTGGAATTAGGGCCTAACAGCTTTTGTAAACAATGACTTCAATCGATGATTTCTAGAAATTCAAGGCTCGCCCACGCAAACCAACCTCCTCATCGGGTAGGGAAAGTCTTTCCCTATCCGATGGTTATTTTGGTCTGCGTGGGCGCACCTTTAGTTTCTAGAAATCATCGATAGAAGTCATTGTTTACAAAAGCTGTTACGCCCTAAATCCACCTCTATCTAGACTTGATATAACCACTATTGCACTTGTATTTCAATTCTCATGTGATTTGAGGTATCGCATGAAGGGTTTTGGTTCAAGTCAGAAACTAGCCACTTCTCCTGGGGTACACGAAACATGTTCGAATATATCCAATTCGGTCCTTTATGCTCAATATGACCACAATTGCACAGTGGGTCATCCAATTAAGTTGACGTATTGAGTGAAGTTTTTTATTTTTTATTTTTTTTTAATCTTTGTTGGGTGTTTTCATCACTGCGACTATTTTTCTGATCTATTGCTATATATCCCCATTTTTTTTAGCTATATTAAGATGCCATATCACTATTATTAAGAGTAATCGCCATTGTTTGACTAATAGCATTATCTCAGCAAGGCATTACACTTCGAAAAAAGTGGTTAAACGATTTGCACACACTAAACACGGTACTCTTCGGCAGTTTTAGCTTTTTGGCGTGTGCACTGAACCAAAACATCCGCAATACTTCGAATGATTATTGCATTGCTCGAGCCCTTTAACAATATGCATTCGAATTTCGGATGATTTTCTTATGGTTGAATTCGTCGTCAGATGATGAACATCCATATGACTGTCATCCAAATACAGGATGATTTTCGTTTGAAAATTAGCTATAAAACGTACGGCACTCAGAGGACAAACATTTAAGAATAGTGTGACATGCAAGTGCTTTTAATAAGATTTATTATTTGATTATGTATAATTCCATACTGAATAGCCATAATAAGCCATTCCATCATGTATACAAAAAAAAATTCGTGGTGGAGAAAACCTCCCCCACCACGAATTAGCCAAACATTGGTTTTCATCCTTTACCTTTGTTCGTAACAGCTCTGATAGCGATGCATATGCTTCCACCTTGTTTGTCAGCTCAGATCAGCAAATGACGTTCGATAGAATCATTTACATCATCGTTTTGAATGATTTGCGTTATGGGGCTGATCCAATTCCATATGCATTTCCATTTAGTATGACAGTCATTCTGCAGAGAGCATTACGCATTTCAACTGAAGACCCTATCCCTTCTCATTACAAGTTTCATCCAGTATTCGAGAGGAAAATCATCTGATTTCAAAACAACAGTCATCCGGTTGCAGCTATCATTCGAAAAAGCGATTTCGGTCTTTTGTTTTGAATGGTCTGAGGTTTCATTCGATCAGAGGATGATGTTTGTGTACAGTGTGGAGAATTTCAGCTGTCATATAAGTTAAACGTTTCAGCGGTTCGTGAAATATTTCAAAAACTACACTGAAAGAAGTGTGCCTGAAATTTAACGTGGACAGGCTTCACTATAAACGCACACAATTGCCTTCAAAATCTAGTTAAAACTCCCTTGGAAATTTTCTCTGTACAGGTAAATCTCCAACGGTCTTGACATTTTTCAAGGTCCTGAATCTTATTTTTCACGATTTTTCATCGACATTCTCGGGCTTTTTCCGATCATTTTTTTCTGCATTTCTTAAATCACTGGTCTTCCTGTAATATTTGTCATTCTAAAATTAATATTAGCTCTTAACTTAAGGGGTTACGGCAGTGTAGAAGTCGACAAAATGGTAAATTTCGCGTTTTTTTTTTTGACGAACAGAAACACTTTAAAAGATTGCGGTTTTCAGCATTTTCTTGACAATATTTTAAATAACATTTTCCTAAATTTTGGTTTTTGAATCGTACAGCGAGGTGGTGCTGCAGTCGTCTAAGCTATGCCATACCCGGTGTGATGCGGTTTGCCGGCGGAAATGATTTGCAGCCGGAGGTAGTACTAGAACAAAATGGATAAAAGTTTCATAAGCTAGAATGTTTTTTCCCTTGATTTGTTTTCCGTCGATCTTGTTTTCCGTGCTGAGCACCAATGCTACCAACGCCAGAGAGGCAGCTCCCACACCTGAACCACAGGCCTGGGTTCAATCCCAGTCGGCGCCTCCAGGATGTTGTGAGGCATAACATCTCTGATCCTTCGGAAAGGAAGTTAAACCGATTGTTCCCGATTCATGAGTTGATGGGTCGATAGGTAGGGTCCAGGTGTGGGAGCTGCTTCCCTGGCGTTGGTAACATTGGTACTCAGTACGGAAAACAAGATCGACAGAAGACAAATCAAGAAAAAAAAATTCAAGAACATATTCCGGGGTAAATCAACCCGAAAAAATCTTAAATCAGACCGGGATTTGAACCCAGCTGCCTCCAGCATGCTCCTGCTTTACAGCTCTGCCTTTTTCGACTGAGCTAAGGGGAAAAAATGCCCAGTGTAGTATGGTCCGAAACGGATAATCAGCAGAACAAAAATTACGCCATTTTTATATTTTTGGTGGTTCTTCTTGGAAATAGTTGAAATTAAAGAGTTTTTCTTTTTTTGAAAAAAAAAATCATTATGATGGTCCTCAGATTTTGGGTCTAACTTTGTTTTTATTGGAGGTTGTAGCAGCAATGTTCTAGAAAATTTAACTTCATGTAACTTTGCTGAAAGCTCTATTTTTCTGGGTCTTTATTTGACCATTCTTCGGCAATTTTTTCAGCATTTCTTAAAGTTTATGGGCATTTAGCTCTTAGAGCTCCGAGTGGCTTTAACATTTCTTCTCGATAAGCTTTCGGAACGCCGGAGATTTCCGGAACTCTTCGAATTCTACGACTTTTCAGAGTTTCGAGAATATCATCAACTCTAGTGAATCTAGAATTTTAAGCTCTTCGGGAGTTTTTAAAACTTGAGAGAACTTCAGGATTTCCAGCATGTAAAGCCGGAATTTCAAAACTCACGGAAAACTTCTGAAACTTCGAAAACTACTTATACTTTTTCATGGTTTAAAGATTTCTAACTCTTAGGCTCTGAACCATTTGGTGGATTATTTTAACTTTTGGTTAAAATTTGACAGATGGAAAGTTATTGATTAACCCTGCTATCCAAGCGTGGTTACTTCTGACAGACAAGAAGTTAAATTTTGACAACTGTGGCTCGAAAACCGGTCGATCAACAGCACGGGGATTTTCGAACATAGAAAATAACTTTCGAAATGTCACTTTTAACCACGAGTTAAATTTAACTCGGCAAATGGTTCACAGCCTTAGAGAGCTTTTCAAGCTTCCAGTAACTTTGGAAAACAACGAACAATTTCTGAAACTGCACCGTATGAAAAAAACCAGCAGAATTTCTGCGATATATAGTGCACACGATAGTTTATGTCAATTTAGGCGCAATATCGCATAAATCAGCAATATTGTATATAAGATTGTAAGTGCTTGTGTTGTTTATACCAACATTATCTCAATATTAAACGAGGGGAAATTTTACGCGGCAGTTAACATTCAGAATATTTCTGAACCACAAAGCACCAAGAGCTTTAAGGATTGCAAGAACTTTCAGAACCTTTGGGTAAATTATTAAGAACTCCCAAGAGTTTCAATAAATGCTGGATCTCTGAGAATTCCTAAAAAATCAAGAATCTATAATCTCCAGGAATTAGATCTCCAGTATCATTTAGAGCTTTGAAACCTCAGATAACCTAGTGAGTAAAGTCACGGTACTACCAAGCTTGAAGTGGTGGGTTCAATTCCTGACCGGTGTAGAACATTTTTCGGGTTGACAATGTTCTCGACTTTCCTGGGCATAGAGTATCATGGTGTATTTGAGTAGCTATGCAGTAATCGAATCTTTTGCAACTATTTTGATTGAGTGTCTCACGTTTATATTCTAACAAATGTGTTCTTATTCTCATTCATGCTTCCAGAGCGGCCAAGGATGGTCTGCTTGACGTGCTCAAGGAGGCTACCCGAGCCGAAGCAAATTCCAAAGATGCAGACGGTATGACCCCAGTGCTGTGGGCTGCCTTCGAAGGTCGATTGGAAGCCCTGAAATTACTAGTCGGAAGAGGGTAATGTTTATCAATTTGGATCTGTTAATCAATTAATAACAATCGGTTGGTTTGCTTTCAGAGGTGATCCGGACAAATCGGACCAGTTCGGCAACACCGCTCTGCACCTAGCCTCCGCCAAGGGTCACATGCCGTGCGTGGATTTCCTGGTACAATTCGGCGTCAATTTGTACGCTCTGGATATCGATAATCACAGTGCGCAAGATTTGGCGGCAATCAATAATCGGGACAACATTTTGCGTTATCTGGATGCGGCAGCTGCAAATTTGGAGGCGGTTGATAAGTATGCTTTCGTGGCATGATTGCGTGGAAATATGTTCACTAATGGATTTTTTTGTTTTTGATTTTCCAGAAAAAAGGTGCGAGATTTAAAAGAGCGCGCAAAAAAGAAATCGGCAAAACGGGCACAAGAGTACGCCGCCAGGCAGCAGAAGCTCGAGCAGGGGAAAGATGAACAACGAGTTAGACCACATCGGCCGTCCAACATGCTGCAGATGTTGAAGCACAAGATTTGGTCCGGTAGTCAGGGAAATCTGAAAAATTCCCATAAGGATAATTTGAATAACAATTCAACGAAGTTTAGTGCATTAGTTGGTGGTACCGTGACCGGATCACGAGGGGCTGTAAAAAAGCGAGCCGAAGCGTCTAAATTGCGGCAACAGATGGAGAATGGAGGTAAAATGTGGCATTTCGGTTTGGAAATTTCAAATTCTAAACCATTTTTTTCAGGATTCAAAATTGGCGAAGTAGAGCCAACGGGCAAGAGAAGCGTCCGGTCGATTCAGGGTTTGCAGAGGGATTCGGAAATCCTATACGTTGGAACGTACATTTCTTCCGACGATAACAGTAAGCGAGGGAAGATTAAGGACGTATTTGATGTTGATTCCAATGGCTACGAAGAAGTAGATGATGATGACAGTGAGAGCGGTGGATCTAGTGCAAAGTTCAATACGATTTCCAGATCAGTCAGTCAACCAGATTTCCTGGCGAATTTGAATGACGACTTGACCAACGATGTGATGCTTCAGAACAGACCCAGTATTTTCAATCGACCATCCGGGAATTTAGCAATGACGTATGTGGTGGCATTTAAAAATAACATTTCTCGCTTAAAATAGCTAATTAATTCCATCGTAGTCGATCGGTGTCCACTGTTCTGGCACAATTGGGCAATGAAAATTCCGCCAACGAGTCGTCGGATGGATCTACAATAGCGAAACCGAAGCATGGACCCATCAAACCTCGCACGCAGCTGGTCATTTCAGATTCGGAAAGTGAAGCGGACAGTTCGGAGAATGAGGAAAACGATTCCCTAGCGGTGCTGAGGTTTTTGGCAGCGTTCAAACTGGATGATCACTATCCGATGTAAATCTATATGCTTTAATTGTTTGTCACATTCATTGTTTACATTGTGGGGTCTAGTTTTCAGAAAAACGAAATTGATATGGAAACTCTGATGCTGTTGACGGAAGGCGATATCAAGTCGTTGGGATTACCGATCGGTCCCCACAGGAGATTATGCATCGCCATTCAGGAGCGGAAAGAAGCGCTCGCCAGTCCGGGGACTATCTTGGACAGCCGGTTGTAAGAAGGTGCTGCTATGATGTGATTGCATTTTGAATAGACGTTGCTGCCCCCTCGCTTGAACTGTACAATACGAACTCCTTTGTGTAAATAATGAATTAAATTATTCAGAAATTTTATGAAGCAACACGGTTGTAGCGTTTGATTGTGTCCCTTAACCAAGTCTCAATATTCCGGCAGCCATAGCTTCTTCTTCTTCTTCTTCGCATTTAAAGCTTATTGCATATCGCATATTAGCTTATTGCGTGCTCTCAACTTAGTGTTCTAGATGCACTTCCACAGTTATTAATTGCGAGCTTTCGATGCCTGTACCATTTTTGCATTGGTATAATTGTGTGGCAAGTCCAATCATACTTCTATGCCCAGGGAAGTCGAGAAATTTTCCAACCCGAAAAATTCCTAGACCGGACCGGGAATCGAACCCAGCCACCTCCAGCATGGTCTTGCTTTGTAGCTGCGCCTCTACCGACTGAGCTAAGGGAGGCCCCGGTAGCCATAGCATTCGGCCGAATACTTGGGTCGATTATCAAGCTATGTACTCTAGACATTTTACTCAAACACCTTGTTAGCCACTTGTAAGATGAGAAAAGTTCGAACATCATATAACATTTCGGTGTAAACGCCAAATAGGGAACGGAGGGGCATAGCGAACAGATGTGGGAAAGTGAGTTTCCTGTGCTTTAAAAATGATCAATCATTACAATGGTGATATTGAACCTACGACCAATTAATTTGTTCATTATGCTCCTCAAACAGTTCGGCGCATCACTAATAATTAAATAAAATTATCAACAAGACGTTAACAGCAAAATAAAACATGATTGTATAATGAAAGCATGTAACTTACAAGTAAACATGTAATCATAACATCTATTAATTTCATTATAGCAAAAATATATGTTTGTATGCAAAATGAGCATTTGCAACCACGACTAGTGATGCACCGAATAGTGCTATTCGGCCAGTTATTCGGCGTTTACACCGAAATGTTACCTGATATTCGGCCTTTTGTCATCTAACAAGTGGCCGACAAGGTGTTCGAGTACAATTTCTAGAGTACAAAGCTTGATATTCGGCTCAAGTATTCGACCGAATAGTATGGCGGCCGAATATTCAGTGCATCACAACTGTAAACCAAACGGAGAATGGCATTGAAGCGTTGCCTCAAAAACCTAAAAACAAATTGCGCTAAAACGCCAAATCAGTACACAATGACCTGGAATGTTAGTAAACGATTTGAATACACTGAAAGAGTCATCAAAACGTACGAGTAATATTAAAAATAAATGGTAGCAAATCACGAAAACAGCCTCAAAACGTAGAAATGACTTTTAAAATCGTCATGAAAACCCTAAAAATAATTTTAAAAGCGCTGAATTAGCACTTAAAATTTATTTTATTTAAATTTGGAATTGCCAAACCGATCTTTAAATTCTTATGATTATCGTAAAAACGAATACTCTCATTTTGAAACGTCGAAATAATCTGAAAAACACCAAATATGACCCAAAATAAGTGAATATGGGCATGACTTTAAAAAAATAGCCTTGAAATCGCAAAAAAAAATAAAAACCAATAGGCTGCAATTCCCAAGTAAAATTTTGGGTTTGATGAGGGTTCTGAAGACTATGATTTAGACTTGTGAAATACTTTAAGCCCACAACAAAAAACTTGCAATGTTACATGGCTTATGATAATTTTGAAGTCTGATAATTTTGCACGACCATATCAGGCATAACATTTGATAACGGCACAAAAGCATTTGTAAACAAACTGTCTAAGGCCCTTTACACGCGAATCAAAGTACGCCCACGCAAAACAATACCACTTTCGGAAAGGTGATAGTTGCCCCTATTTGATGATGTTGTTGGTTTGCGTGGGCGTACTTTGGTTCGCGTGTAAAGGGCCTTAGAAAGTTTGTTTACAAATGCTTTTGTGCCGTTATCAAATGTTATGCCTGATATAACCAAAATGTTTGAATTCCTGCGGCCTATAGGCTGTTTCTATGCACCACCAATGTAAAGGCGCTAGGCGATTATGAGAGGAAATGTCATCCAAACCGTTTGTTTACAGCGAAATTTCATTTTTTACATCTCAAATTAATGCATATTTGTATGCATATCTTGCATATTTCCATCGGGAGGGGTCTTATTTTATTATTTTTACATATTTGAACAGATGTACAGCTCAAATAACACCACATTAAAAATTTATTTTTAAATTTACGTTTGGCACTTAAATTTCCATGTGATTTGAGGTGTCGAATGATGGGTTTTAGTTCAAATCAGATTCTGGCCACTTTCACAAGGGATCCTGGAACATATTCAGATGTGGCCAATGCAGTCCTGGACCCACAATATAGCTTCCAATGCTATTATTTCTGAATTCCCATATGATTTAAGGTGATTCCTTGTAGAGTCTACAAATGGCCACCACGTAAGCAATAAATGCATTTCCACCTCGAATTTTCAATTACACACATCTCGGAAATTAGAGTTCCATTTCACCTGAAATTGCTATTGCATTTATGTTGCAGCGCAGCAAACGTGGAGTAACAGTTTCATTGTAGTACGTGTCGTGGAAGCTGATATTTGTGCACTCAAAGTTTCGAAGTGGTAGCGAGAATAAGGATCTCACAGCGAGCCACCTTAAGGTGACAAATTCAATTTTAAATTTCCAGGTTTTTCCCGGTTCGTTGTTAATAATTCAATAATTACCCGGCTTATAAATCACGTTCTTAGCCAACTATTGGATATTTGTTATAAGAACATTCAAATTCAGTCATCAATTTGGTTGAAATCCTGTTTAAATTTTCCGAAACTTTTAATAAATTTGAAATTTAAACAGTTTTACCTAACAAAAAAGAAAACAATCACAATGCACTATGGGCCAATAGTGCAATCTAGCGGGACAAAATTAAAAAACTCCAAAACGAAGCATATCGAAGTAAATACACCAATAACAAGAAAATTGTAATTTTCAAATTTGAATATCTCGCAATACTTAGTGAACAAAATTAGAGGGGTAAATTTTGGTGTTTCTTAGGTTTTTGCATTTTAGTAGAACAATTTTTCACGTGTTTTTCAGCATTTTCTTAGAAATGTGTAGCTAAAATCAGTGTATTCCTTATCAAAAGTTTTGATTAGTTAATGAAAATATTAGATATTAAATATCTATAGAAGAGTAGTTTATTTTGATAAAATGAACAACTTTGTTTTGAAGTTTCGAGAATCTCAGAGTAATAAAAAATAGATGTTGGTGTCATCTATAGGGTTGAGTATCGAACTATCTGTTTAAAGGGTGTCCACGATGAAATTGCCACACTATGAAATTGCTCTAACTTTTTAACCGTTGGATAGAATTTAATGAAAATTTGGGTGGATTTAGTTCATAGTGCATTATTTAAAGTTTTAAAGTCCTGTGATCAAAACTCGCAGAAATGGAGTCGAAAGAACAGCTCGTGCGTGATAAAATCTTGCGCATTCATCACGAGAACAAGGATCTCTCGCATCGTTCCATCGCTAAAACGTTGGGAATCGCGAATTCCACGGTGTCGCGAGTGATTAAGCGGTTCGAGGAACGGTTGACCACCGATCGGAAGCCCAGAAGTGAAGGAAAAGTATTCCGTACAACACCAAAAATCACAACCGCGTAGTTGGGGCCTTCAACCGAAATCCGAACGCCTCCGTTAGGGATGTGGCTAAGAAGCTGCACCTAAGCCGAAGTTTTGTCCAGAAGGCCAAAACTAAGGCTGGGTTTCGAACGTTCAAGGTACAAAAGGCCCCTAATCGCGACGAGAAGCAGAACAAGTCCGCCAAAACCCGTGCCAGGAAGTTGTACCTCAACATGCTGACGAAAGTTGAATGCTGCATCATGGACGACGAAACATATGTGAAGGCCGACTTCAAACATATCCCCGGCAACCTGTTTTTCACGGCCAAGGATAAGTTCAGCGTTCCGGAGCATGTCCGCACTCCAAATTTGCGAAGAAATTCCTGGTTTGGCAAGCCATCTGCACGTGCGGGAAGCGGAGTGCACCTTTCGTGACCCAGGACACGATGAACGGACAGGTGTACATAAAAGAGTGCCTCCAGAAGCGGCTGCTTCCTCTCCTGAAGGCCCACAACGTCCCAACAATCTTCTGGCCGGATTTGGCCTCATGCCACTACTCCAAGGACGTGCTGAAGTGGTATGCGGACAATAAGGTCAATTTCGTGCCGAAAATGTTCAACCCTCCCAACACTCCGGAGCTCCGCCCCATCGAGAAGTACTGGGCGATTATGAAGCACCACCTTCTTAAACGACCTAAGGTAGTGAAGACAGTCGAGGAACTGAAGAAAGTATGGGTTTACATGCAAAAAACGGTTGATTCACAGGTTGTGCAGAATCTTATGGCCGGGGTTAAGGCCAAGGTGCGGGCATTTGCGTATGGACTGTAAATAAAATACGAGTAAAATGGTAAAATGAAGTTTAATAGTTATTTCTCAATCCCTGAAAATTTGATGGCAATCGGATGAAAACTCGAATTTTGCAAATCAATTTTGTGTGTGGCAATTTCATCGTGGACACCCTTTATATCAATAGATGGTTCTTATTATTGTGAGAAGCTTCGCAGAAGACACAAATTAACAAAAATGCTTCGCTTCGGAGCTAACAATTTTGTCCCGCTAGGTCGCATTCCAGGTCCACCCTGGCGGTTAATCTTTAGCAAAAGTTTTGTATTTTTACTAGGGGCGTCGCACTCTAAACTTAAGTTCTAAGTGTGCATTTGTCATCCTCTATCCCTACCCCAACCCTACCGTTGAACAAGTAGAACTGCGAATAATTTGATTAAATCTCGGAGGAGACCTTTATGTTGTGAAGACTAGTACTTCAAAAGAGTAACTTTTGAGGCAAGACAGGGTGTCCTCAACAAGTTAAGGAAACAGGATGCACTAGATATCCACAACAGGTACAGTAAAACATCACATAGACGCCTTTACTCACACTTACTACTCAGGGGGTAGAAGGTCAAGAAGAGCCACCGCTAACTAAAGCTTGAACCGGGTACCTGGGACTTTCACGATATTCCCGCAACAATGATCAGCAGACGATGCCCTGTGCGTATTTAGTATGTAATATGTTTTATTTGGATACACAAAATGTTTGAAGCCATGCGTCATCTAAACCATGATTTGCATCACCACAAATACACTTTTCAACAATCTTCAACTGGAACGTACTCACCAAATCATTACACTCGGGAGCGCAATCTCCAGCGATTCCAACCTCACAATGACTTAATATCACTTTTCTTTTACAAGTCACTCTGTGCACAGAAGCAATGCACATCGCAAAAACCTAATAATAGATCAGCGCGGTCGAGTCACACCGGTAACAAAGGGAAGCGAGAGCACACCAGGTACCTAAGCAACGGGAAACATCAGCACAAACCATTCCAAATCAAATTATCGCGCCCGGGACACAAGACAATTTAAATGCGAGCACCGAAAACCTCAAGGAAAAACTACACGCCAGCACAAAGACAGCCTGAACTAAAAATAATAATAAAATAAAATAAAAGCACGCAGCGAGCAAAAACACACAACCGTTCTCGAACAAATCTCAAAGTGAACTCCACTCTAAACTTAAATTCTAAGAGACATAAAATATTTTCCAGTCGCTCATAAGTATTCATAAGTATTTTCAAGTATTTTAAATCTAGCCTTATGTTCATCATAGTGACCGGTTGTTAATGCAGTTGTTTGTTGTTGTATCTCACAGAAGTATGTTGGTGGTGCTTGAAGCAGTTCCGTGATGTGAACGTAAGGTCTAGTGTCTTTTTCGTTTTTGCGGTGTACCTACACCGGTGCTACACTGCCGTACACCGAAATTATTTAGGGTGTAGATATAGGATGCACCTTTGTTTACATACAAATATGTTGAGCTGTCAAAGACTCGTGCTTATTCTTGCTTATGTCGTTTTCGTTTTTACGGTGTAGCCCTGGTGTAGTGTAAGCAGGAATAAGCGCGAGTCTTTGACAGCTCAACATCATTTGTTTGTAAACAAAGGTGCATCCTATATCTACACCCTAAAATATTTCGGTGTACGGCAGTGTACCACCGGTGTAGCTACACCACAAAAACGAAAACGACAATACCTATTGGGTATACTGCATTTGATTTCATGTTCTTTCTGCATTATTGCAGCTCCATCGTTTATTTGGACACCGCCAGTGCTGCGTAGTGAGAAAGTTCTGAAATATGCCCGCCATTCGAAAGGACATGGTGACCTGAAAAATTTTGCTGAAAACAGTAAACCTAACTAGCGCCGCATTGTGAGTGAGTTCTAAAGTAATATGGCCACCATATGAAAGAACTTGGTCACCTGAACAACTATGCTCAACAGAGTAACCTTCTTTATGGCAAGGATTCCGAGATACAGCTTATACCGGAAGTTAATGTGCACACTAATGCCACGAGTGAGAAATTTCTGAACTAAAATAAAATTGGTTACCTGAATAACTTAGCTGAAGATTAGGTAAGGATTTCGAGATACATCTCATACAGGAAGTTCAAGTGCACACTAGCGCCGTGTAGTGCACAAATTACGAATTACCACCAACCAAGGCCTTGATCCACTGAACTACTTTGCCAGAGACAGAAACCTTCTATACCGTGCCGATTCAAATTTCGGACACTTAAACTCGAATTTCGGACACTTTTTAAAAGTTGATTATCTCGGTCGAATATGATCCACATGTCTTGTAAATTTTAAATTTTTTTGACTAGTGCCCTCCACGATCATCTAACATTATTACTTTGTTTCTAACTGGATGTAATATTTAATTAAAAATGAAAGTGTCCGAAATTTGAATCGTCCGTAATTTGAATCGGAACGGTATGTCCAGAAGTAACTCCCTAATCTGTATAACATCCTGATGACCTTCGTCACCTGAAAAACTTTGCTGAAGACGGTAATATCATAGAGTTAACTCTTAGACTAGTTTTGGAGGCGAACCAGCCTAAGGCTGAAAGCCTCCTAAATAAAGCTAAATAATAATAATAATCTTAGACTAGTAGGTCCCGAAGAAACTTGCTCAACTTTTTGGCTCAGCTCTGGTACCATCTTCGGTCCCAAGCTAATCGATGCACCCCTCGAAACATAGGAAAATCCACAAACCCCTCATTTTATCTGTCAAACTTTCATAGCAAATCAAAACAAACATCGTGTAGTACTTGAATTTCGACTATTATAGTCCTCGAAGCATAAGGCCTAAAGCCATCTGTCAAAAGTAGTTCCAATCGAACCGTCAAAATGAACTACTTTGCTCGATCGGAACAAATTTTTTCAGTTTTGTTGTGACAGTCGTCCATTTTTTACTAGAGGGCTTTAGTCCAGCCTGGGTTGCAGCGCTGGATACCAAGTGAAATCAAGCGAAGCTCATGGCCTTTGTTGTCACATTTTTTCTAGTTTAAATCTGTATCTACAAATTGGCGCTTTTTTCCAGAGCAAAAAGGAGAACTCGTTCGTGACTTTCTCATTATTTGTTTAAAATTGCGCCAACATTTTGTAATGTTCGATATAATCTTTAAAATGGTTATCAAGTTAGAAACTGATCAATATCGAGTAAATTGGTCAACGGCGCCGGTGGTGTAGTGGTAAGCGTGATTACCTCTCACCCCAACAGGCCTGGGTTCAATCCCAGTCGGGGCCGCCGGGATGTTCTGAGGCAAACATCTCTGATCACGCCTTCCTTCGGATGGGAAGTAAAGCCGTTGGTCCCCGGTTCATGAGTTGATGGGTCGATAGGTAGGGTCCAGGTGTGGGAGCTGCCTTCCTGGCACGTCGGTAGCATTGGTGCTCAGCACGGAAAACAAGATCGACGGGAAAAACAAACCAAAGGAGTAAAACGGTCGAATATACCTTTGCTGCTTTTCCTCAAACCCGGTTATTTTGATGTTTAACCTTCCAGCAGTTGCGCTGGTGCACTGAGTGCAGTTGCCAAAGACACACAATTGAAAAGGTATTTGGATATTGGATTTTTGGATATTTTTTAAATGTTTATGCATTGAAAAGGTATTTGGATATTGGATTTTTGGATATTTTTTAAATGTTTATGGATCTCTAGGAAGAGGGAGATTTTATTTTGAAATACATCAAATTTCAAATCAATTTGAATGAGAGTGATACTTCATTGGTGTGAATAAACTAGGCCAGCATTTAAAATACACTTCTCGATGAACATTTCAAATGGTCCTATCTGCTTTGATCGATTCTCTTCATCGACTTTCTCTTTCGTTAATAACTTAGCTGCAAAACCTTTCCCTGTTGTATTTGGCGTTTTGGACGCTAGATAAGAACCTCCTTTATCAAACTATGTGGTAGAATTAGCGCGAAATCTGTTTGCATAGCAGTGGTTATGAAAAGAGAAAGTCGATGAAGAGAATCGATCAAAGCAGATAGGACCATTTGAAATGTTCATCGAGACTTGTGTTATTACTTTAAGATTTTATTTAAGAATACAATTTCAAGTGTTGATCCTAGTACCTAATAACTAATAATCGAACAAATCTGTTTAAGGGACGTAAGCCTTGGTGTAGGTCCTGATTGTTGGATTTGTTTTCTACCAGTGATGGGGATTTTTTTTGACAGCCATTTCGAGTGACTCCACACCACCCAGGTTCATAACTTCGAAACAAGATGATCAATGTTGATGAAATTTACACCTAGTACTCGTCGAAGCATAATAACACTTTTAAAATTTTCTGGTTTTGATGACTAGAGACGGGATGGTGCATTGAAACCTTCGGTTAGATTTACTTTACTTTGCTAGTTTGATAGAGATAGAAGTTATCATAGAACCAAACCACCTAGACCTGATGTACCTAAACTTGCGAGAAAGTCGATAAATGTATTTTGCTTTATGCGATCCGCTCACGTTGTTTGCAAAATTCATGCCACTGCTAAAACCTGCCTTATAGCTCAGTTCATTTGCAGTTATCCACCAGTGCGCATTAACATTTTATTTTTCCAATGGCTGTTGTATTCACAATCAATGGGAAATTGTACAACGGTAAGTGATGTAACTCATATGAAGCAATAGTAACCCAAATTCTAAAACAAATTATGGCACATGTTGCAGTTACTTCCGAAGACGTACCAGCCGATACATCTCTGAATACGTTTATTCGAAACTATGCTCATCTTACTGGAACGAAATTCATGTGCCTCGAGGGAGGTTGTGGAGCATGCATTGTCAACATTAGAGGGGTTCATCCCGTTACAAAGGAAACAACTTCGTACTCGGTCAATTCCGTCAGTATTTTCATAGTATCTAAGCTATTAATTCTGGTAATCCAGATAATTAACCGAAAGTTTGTAGTGTCTATTTTTAGTGTTCTCCTGTCACGGAATGGATATTATAACGATTGAAGGTATTGGATCAAAGGTGGATGGGTATCATCCGGTGCAGCAGAGATTGGCTTCCCTCAATGGGACACAGTGTGGATTTTGTTCACCTGGGATGGTAATGAGTATGTACAGTTTAATGGAATCCAGGAGCAAGCAGCTCACCATGGGTGAAATTGAGAATTCGATCGATAGCAACATCTGTAGATGCACGGGATATCGTCCAATTTTGGATGCATTCAAATCCTTCGCATGTGATGCTAGTGGGAGTTTGGTGAACATGTGCAGGGATATTGAAGATATGGAGAAGCGGTGCAGTAGTAAAACAAAAGGAATTTTATGCAGTGGTGTGTGTTCTTCTAAATCGGTTTCAAAAGAAAGCGAATCAGTGCATCTGTATTTTAAAGATGGGCGGAAGTGGTATAAAGTTTATTCTATTGATTCGATTTTTGAAATATTGAACAATAAGGGTACTGAACCATACATGATTGTTGCTGGCAACACTGGTCACGGTGTCTACCGAAGAAATGCAGATTTGAAGTTGTTCATCGATGTGAATTCAGTGGAAGAGCTTCATTCCCATTGGTTGGGAAGTGAGCTGATTGTAGGAGCAAATGTCACTTTGACGGAATTTATAAAAATCTTGAAGGAAGCTGCTTCGAACAATCCGAAATTCAAATACTGTGCCGAACTTGCTGAGCATGTAACAATGGTGGCGCATGTGGCAGTGCGGAATGTTGGAACGCTCGCAGGAAATTTATCCTTGAAACATCAGCACCATGAGTTCCCGTCAGATCTTTACCTGATTCTTGAAACTGTTGGAGCTCAACTAACCATAAGTACAAAAATGTCTGAGTTTTCCACATAATAAAACTCATTATTGCAATACTTCTTCCTCAGTGAGTGCTGACGGTATGATGGATAAAGCCACCCCTCAGGAGTACCTCCAAATGAACATGGAAAAGAAAATTCTCACAAGCATCGTTCTGCCGGCCCTCGATCCGGCCTATCACTTCTTCCGTTCCTACAAAGTACAACCAAGGGCTCAGAATGCCAAAGCCTACGTCAACGGAGCCTTCTTGGTGAAGCTTTCTGCAACAAAAACCATCATAGACCGGGCATCGATTTGCTACGGAGGAATTCACCCAAGCGTAAATTGTTTCACTTTCAATATTGTCTATTCAGTCAGTCAGTATCAAGGTTGATTTTCATGTTCATATGTTACATGCTTTCAGTTCACACACGCGATCGCAACGGAAAAACTACTCGTGGGAAAATATTTTTTCCGCAACGCAACCATTCAGGAGGCACTGGGAGTGCTGGATGAAGAGATTAATCCCGATTGGGTCCTGCCTGACCCTAGCCCGGAGTTCAGAATTCAAGCAGCTCTAGGGTTGTTTTACAGGTTGGTGTGGTAGTTTTGGTTAGCTAGTAATTAGTTTTCAGAATATTGGTATGGTGACCTTACCAGCAACTTGACAAAGAAAAGCTTTTATACTAACTAAAATTCCTGAAATTTGCAATTGCAAGTATCTCGCGAATAAAACTTAAAATAATATGTTATGAATCTCGTTAAATTGATGCGATTCTGGTTTGTAAATACGCTTAAGGCATTCCGTTGATTCTCGTTTGGGGTTCGTTGAATACCACATTGCGCTGAATTACGTCCAAGATTCCGGTGAGCTCCGTCTGAGATTCCGCTGATTTTCGATGAATCTTCATTGAATCCCATTCGGATTCTAACCATTCTCATCTGGGAGCCTGAAACAGATGTCGTCTGGAAATATGTTTCACTTAGAATCCCATCTGGAATTTCAAAGAATTCCATATGTCATTCTGATGAATTCCGTCTGGGATTCCCCTATATTCCGTCTAAGATTGCGTTGAATCTCTAAGGAATTCCATTTAATTTTCTGATATTTTATTCAATTTCACTGAATATTCGTTAAATCCCATAAGGGAGACTTTTGATTTCTATCTGGCATTCCGATGATTCTCGTTTGAGATTCCACTGATTTCCATCTAAATCCCCACATGGGATTCTGTTGAATCCCATCAGGGATTCTGTTGAATCCCCGTCCGGGATTCTGTTGAATCCCCGTCCGAGATTCTGTTGAATCCCCGTCTGGGATTCTATTGAATCCTCGTCGGGGATTCTGTTGAATCCCCGTCCGGGATTCTGTTGAATCCCCGTCCGGGATTCTGTTGAATCCTCGTCCGGGATTCTGTTGAATCCCCTTCCGGGAATTTGTTGAATCATCGTCCGGAATTCAGATGCATCTCCGTTTGGGATTCTGTTGATTTCTTCTAATATTCCTCTGCATCCTATCTGGACTACCGCTGAATCTGATATCCGTTTATCTTCATTTCAGATTCGTATTGAGCATAGCACCCAAGAACACCAAGATTGTCAGTACGCGGTTCCTATCGGGAGCAACCGCATTGGAGCGTCCGGTATCGTCCGGTTTCCAATCATTCGACACCTACCCGCGGAATTGGCCATTGACGAAAAACATTCCAAAAACAGAAGCCCTCGCTCAGACATCAGGAGAAGCACAATTCATCAACGATATTCCTCATCTTCATAACGAACTGCACGCAGCATTTGTTACGGCTACTCAATCCAAATGCAGCATGCTCCAGATTGATCCAACAAGGGCTCTGAATATTCCAGGGGTTGTAGCTTTCTACACTGCTAAAGATATCCCCGGTCAAAACGATTTTATGCCGCTGAGAGTTGGAATAAACCATTTCTTTCCAATTGGGATTGAACGGGAAGAAGTACTGTGTAGCGGTCGAGTCCTGCACCATGGCCAACCAATTGGGCTGATTGTAGCTGAAACGTTCGATGTTGCAAATTATGCTGCTTCCATGGTTGACGTTATCTATAGTCATCCGGATGAGGAAATTTATGCGACAGTCGAAGACGTAATGAAGGCGGGAGCAACGGAGCGTATAAAGGATCAGCCCAATGGTCGTACAGGCTCAGCCTATGCCACAGCAACGGAAGGGGACATGACTGTAATGGGCAACTTTTATCTCTCTGGTCAATATCACTATTCCATGGAAACACAGAGTTGTCTTTGTATTCCCACCGAAGACGGTATGAATGTGTACAGTTCGACACAATGGGCTGATCTGGTGAGCTCCTCAATATCGTTGCTACTAAACATACCCCAGACTAAAGTTAATTGCTACTGTCGACGAGTTGGCGGAGCTTTTGGATCGAAGATTACTAGAAGTGCCCAAATAGCTAGCGCATGTGCGCTTGTAGCTCATCTTTCACAAAGACCAGTACGGTTGGTGATGAACATCGAAGCGAACATGACTTCGATTGGAAAGCGTCAAGGCTGCTGGAATGACTACCAAGTATCTGTTTATAAAAATGGTAAAATAGCGAAGCTTTCAAATACTTACACTCACGATATGGGAAGCTCCCTCAACGAACCACTCTCCATGTTCTATAGTAGATTTTTTAAAAATTGTTATGACGAAAGCTCGTGGCGAACAATACCAAAGGTAGCACTAACCGATACTGTCAGCAATACGTGGCTCCGTGGCCCAGGCTCAGCAGAAGCGTTCGCATCGATTGAAACTATTATCGAACATATCGCCCATGACACAGGTGTGGATCCATTGGAAGTTCGTTTAGCTAATATTCCAATCAATAGTAAAATACGCGAGCTTCTACCTATGTTTAGGAGAGATACGGAGTTTGACAAACGGAGAACAGAAATCAACGAGTTCAATGCTGTTAATCGCTGGCGCAAACGAGGTATATCATTGATTCCACTGGCTTATCAGATTGAGTATGGAGGACCGTTCGACGCTTGGGTGGCAATCCATCACTTAGATGGTAGCGTCTCGATAACTCACTCCGGAGTTGAAATGGGTCAAGGCGTCAATACGAAAGCTGTACAAGTCGCTGCTCATATTCTTGGTATTCCCCTCGAGATGGTTTCCATAAAACCGTCGAACAGTGTGACGTCGCCGAATGCTTCAATATCGGGTGGAAGTAACGTTTCCGATTGTGTGACATATGCCGTCATGAGGGCTTGTGAAATTCTCCTTGAACGCATACGACCGATTCGAGAAATCAATCCTGCTGCATCTTGGGAAGAACTGGTCAACACCTGCTTTTCGGCCAATATTAGTTTAGTTGCCAGGTATTTCGCTAAGCAAACTGAACTCATTTCGTATACAATTTGGGCACTGTGTTGCACCGAGCTGGAACTTGACGTGCTGACGGGGACTGTTAGAATGCCACGAGTAGACATTTTGGAGGACACGGGTGAAAGTATGAGTCCGGGGATCGATATTGGACAAATCGAAGGAGCTTTCATGATGGGCGTTGGATATTACCTAACAGAAGCTTTGGTCTACGACAAGGCTACCGGAGCGTTAACGAATAATCGTACATGGAACTACAAGCCACCCGGAGCGAAAGATATCCCGACTGATTTCAGGATAAGCTTGCTCCGAAATGCTTACAATCCGGTTGGAGTATTACGCTCAAAGGCAACTGGTGAACCGGCGTATTGTTTGGGTATTTCGGCACTATTTGCTTTGAGATATGCACTGATGGCTGCTCGAAAAGATGCCGGACTTGGTGGCGATTGGTTGGAGTTAGGTAACATATATTTAGTATTATTTTGGAAATGTTAATTATTTGTTCGTTTTTTTGTTTTAGGTTCATCGATGACGATTGATAAGGTGCTACCTTTAACTGGTAATGTAAAGGAGCAATTCTTGATCGATTGAAATCAAAACCAAACCAAATACGTTCATCACTGCACAGTTTGGAGATATAATCTATCAGGACACAAACAATATTGCACCTTTTGGAGCTTTGATATATTTTTAATACAATAGAAGATAATAAATATTTAAGCGGATATAAGAAAATTTAATAGAGATAAGAGGGGCATAATGAGCATCCCGCACTACAGTGCCAAACCTCTATTTGTTCCAAACAAATTTATTGGCAGTAGGCTAAAGAACAGGAAGCTCACTATGCCCTTCCTTTCCCTATGGTAAACATTTTCGAAAATTGTTTAGCACTTGTTTGCCTCCTAATACATAAACAAAGATAATATAGTCTTAGAACGTTTTCAATTAACTACTGCTGTGATCAGGGCCTCAGATAGCCTAGTCCGTAAAGGCACGGCATTACCAAGCTGGACGTTAAATTCCCAGTCATGGCAAGTGGCGGATACATCCCCAGTCTGACCTAGTAAATTGTTCGTTTGGGATATTTTCTCGGCTTGCCTGTGCTCGGAGTTTTTGTACTTGCCTCTCAATATACAAATTCATGCATTAGTTTTAGCGTTTAACATCGCGTTAGGTATGATAAGAAGAGCTGGAATAGACACGAGTGTCACGATCTTCAGGAAGTCCATCCAGCTTCTTGGCTTCACCGATGACATCGACATCATGGCACGGAACTTTGAGACGATGGCGGGAACGTACATCAAACTGAAGGCTGAAGGCGGATTGGACTTACCGTCAACGCATCGAAGATGAAATACAGGAGAGGAAAAGGTTCTAGGGAAGACAATGTTAGCCTCCCACCACGAGTTCAGATTAACGGTGACGAAATCGAGGTGGTCGACAAGTTCGTGTATTTGGGCTCACTGGTGACCGCCGAAAATGATACCAGCAGAGAAATTCAAAGACGCATTATGGCAGGGAATCGTGCCTACTTTGGACTCCGGAGGACGCTCAGGTCGAATAAAATTCGCCGCCGCACGAAGTTGACTGTCAAAAGACGCTGATTAGACCGGTGGTCCTCTACGGCCATGAGACCTGGATTATGCTCGTGGAGGACCAACGCGCCCTTGGTGTTTTCGAACGGAAGGTGTTGCGTACCATCTACGGTAGAGTGCAGATGAATGACGGAACGCAGTGAAGATGAATGAACCACGAATTGCACCAGCTGCTGGGAAAACCATCCATCGTCCACATATCAATATGGTGACGACTATGGTGGTCTGGGCACGTTGCAAGCATGCCGGACAACGATCCAGTGAACATGGTTCGCGACCCAACATGAACAAGAAGAAGAGGCGTGCAGTGGGCAAAGTGGATCGACCAAGTAGAAGGCGACCTGCGGACCCTTCGCAGACTAAGAGGCTGGCGACATGTGGCCATGGATCGAGTAGAGCGAAGACGACTTCTTCGGACATTAGAGGACATCAAGGCCTTAGCCTGATTAGTAAGGTATATAGTAAGTATATTTGGCTGAATTGAGTTTTTAGATAGCTTCCAGAAGTAATGATTTCGATATTGTTAACACTTAGATATTTTTCAAAACTATACGGTGAAATTTTTGAGGTTTTAAGGATTTAATGATGTTATTCGAAAGTGCTTGGATTGTGGTTTCAAGTTTCCAAGAAAAGATGAAATTTCATATACCCATCACCTGAATTTCAGGTTTAACAGTTTGTGAAGAAATCAAAATTTAATATAATATTTCAAGTACGTATTTTTCCTTCTTCATAAAAATGAGCAGCTCTTTCGAGTTGTACTTTTTTCGAATAAAACATGTATAGCCGGAAGTGTAGTGGTAAGCGTGATTACCTCTCACCACAGCAGGCCTGGGTTCTATCCCAGTCGGCGCCGCCTGGATGTTCTGAGGCATAACATCTCTGATCACTTCGGAAGGGAAGTAGAGCCGTTGGTCCCCGGTTCATGAGATTATGGATCGATAGGTAGGGTCCACGTGTGGGAGCTGCCTCCCTGGCGTCGGTAGCATTGGTGCTCAGCACGGAAAACAAGATCGACGGAAAACAAATCAAGGAAAAAAACCTTCGATCCAGTAGTGCCAACAATCAATACGAAACTAGCGATTTTAAATTGGTTCACTACTTGACTAGCCTATTGGTCCCAAGCAAACGATTAACGTATCCCATTCTAGTCGAAATTCTAGTACTACGCAATGTTTGTTTTGATTCGCTATGAAAGTTTGACAGATAAAATGAGGGGTTATTGGTTTTTCCCTTGTTTCGAGGGGTGAATCGATTAGCTTGGGACCGAAGAGAGTACCAGAGCTGAGCCAAAAAGTTGAGCACGTATCTTCGGGACCTTCTGGTCTTAGAGTTACCTCTATGGTAGTGCTGTCATGCCAAAGCAAACAATCAGATGTTTTATTGGAGTGTACCCCATTAAGCATAAATATGTTAGGCATACGGACGTTAGGCATATGTACGTTAGGCATAATGGACATTAGGCATAAAGTCATTAGGCATAAATACGTTAGACATATGGACGTTAGGCATAATGGAAGTTAGGCATAAAATACCTTGCTGCTGTGCAGCTCTAGAAATCTGTTTTGAGCATGGTTAGCAATGCCTGGATTAGGCTAGGCGCTGAATAAAAAATAATACAAGTTAAACAAACATAGTTTATCTAATAAGCACAGTTTGGAATCCATTATTTATCATATCATAAGTGACGTAGCTACATATTTACTTAGATATAAGATTAGTAGCGATAGCGGTTAAGTAATCTGGCAATGAAAACTCAGCATAGTTCTGAACTTTGTCTTGAAATCAATCGCATCAAGAAATAAAAAATCACACATTTGTTGTAATATATTCTTACACACATATTTAGAGATGAACTAGCCTAAGGCTAAAAATCTCTTTAATAAAGAATTAAAAAAAAAATCTTACACACATATTGCAATTGTCAAAGAAGAAAAGGTTTTCCTCAAAGAACAGCTCATGAAATGAAGAATGGTGAATTCTGTGATTTTTCATTCAATAACAAAAAAAAAGTTGCTAAGGTTGAATAAAATATGATGCCAAAGAACAGCTCATTAAATGAAGAATGGTGAATTCTGTGGTTTTTCATTCAATAACAAAAAAACATACCTGCTACTTCTTTAGAGATGAACTAGCCTAAGGCTAAAAATCTCTTAAATAAAGAATTAAAAAAAAAAACCTGCTACTTCCAGGATTTCCTGTAATACTTTTCGATACAACGATCCTGTTTTTGTTGTCATCAGAATGAAAACAAGCGGAACTGTCTGCTGATGTGAGGGAGCGATACTTCCATGAACAGTAACGAGTTGCCGAAACAAACAAGGAACTGTGGTAAACGTACCATCTGCAACCCAATACTTTTCCTGTCCAAGACGTCGCAAGTTTTCATGAGTCCCAAAAATTAAGGGTCTTTCATTATTGTCACCGAAGTCAGCAATCAATAGACGGTCCCCATTATCATCCTTCTACCCGATTATACCTAACGTCCATTATGCCTATCGTACATTATGCCTAACGTCCGTATGCCTAATTACCGTATGCCCAACGTCGTGTACCCGGTTTATTGTACACGAGCACCACCTTGTGTCGCAATTCTCAATAGTGCTATCAACCTATAGGTCTTTTAATCTGAACAACTTTGCCGAAGACAGCATCTTGCATTTATAGTCAAGCCATTGAGTTAATGCAATCAATTAATCATGTTTTGTTGTTTTTGACATCATCCACATCCAGAGGGCCAGTCACTTCGAATGTATGGGATTGGTAGGAAACCATTTGGAAATGCATAAAAAATTTCAGTTTTTATTCATTATCGTCTTTATGGGTAGTTTTAGATGCACGAGTACATTACTATGGTGATAAGGTAAACACTCGTTTATTTGTTTCCTTCTGTGAAAGCATGTTTAGTCACAAATCGTGGATTTTCTGAAATTCTCCATACTGCAAAAATGATTTTCCTACCACTGAAGGGGCGACATCTCTCGGATCTTCAGTATAGCTACTACTCAAATCATATAATTAATTTTAACTCACGGGAAATTCGGAACTGAATTATACACCATCCAATAAATGTTACTACTCTGCCGAGTACAGAAACCTTCTATGTAGTCGATATATCATGAGAAGTAAGTAATTAGAACACAACTAGCACACTTCCGCCACCTGGTGAGCGAATGCAAAATTGAACTCTTTCATGGCTCATGAATGCAACTTATTTTTTTTATTCGATTTTCTTTACAACCAAGTAGGTATTTGAGGAAAGTTTAGGAAAATTTTACTGTCTATCAGTATCCTACGATTCTGCGAATTTGAGTAAATGGAATTTAAATTTGAGTCGGACTCAACGGCCGTGTATCTGAGCAACTTTTCCGAAGACCGCAACCTGCTATGGTGAGGGTTCATTGGGCTGAATGTCACTAGGCCAAATACTACTAGGCTGCATTCCATTACACCGAAAGACAATAGGCCGAATGGGCGATCAGGCCACTTTTTATGTTACGGCATCTGTATTGTTCCAGATTAAAAATACAATGAGCAGCTAAGAAAATAGATCGACGATTCATGGTGTCAGAATACATTGTTGCAATATCGAGAAAGAACCGCTTCAAAGACGGAACAATCTTCTATGATAAATAAATATATATGATCTCTAAAATGGTTGGTTGGTTGTCTTTACTCTCCGTTACTCGCGATGTTGTACTTAATACAACACACATGAGTTTTCCATTGCCATTTTGTTGCTGAGTTACCAATCGATCTAAAACCAACGAGTATTCCTCAAAAAACTTGTTTTGATCTAAACAAGGTAAACTTTGATTACAGTAAACACCTAAAATTGTGGATAATAGTCGCTGGCGGACAGTAGTTCAGAATTTTATCACTACGTAGCGCTAGTATACATGTGAAATTCTCGCATGTGATATATCTCGAGATCCTGACCAGATAGAAACTTACTGTCTTTAACAAAGTTTTTCAGGAGATCAAAGCCTATTGCTT